AAGCCCGAGCCCGACGGCGCCCGACGGCTCAAAGACCAAGGACGACAGAACGGCGCCGATTGCAGCGTTCATTGCCTCGTGGAGTTGTTTGGAGGTGCCGATCGCCTGCTTGGTGGTAACGTGGTAACGCGCTCGAGGGTCCAGGCTATGGTCGGAGATTTCCAACGCTTTGCCCAAGGCTCCTCACGTGCTAAACTCCCAACGCCGCGCTCGAGAGCAGCCTCGTAGTCGGCGCCGCGCAGGAGGTCCAGCGGGGTCTTCCAATCGATGGCGAGGCAGGCTGCTCTGGTCAGAGCAGAGACGCAAGCGACGGAGGCCGACGTAACGTCGACCGCTCCAAACTGCGAGGCGCGCGCCATACCGCGTACTGTAAACGTGGACGGTGGGACGTGCCAGAGCTTGTTGATGATGGCGCTCTCAGCTTGGAGGATCGCGCGGGGAGGGGGGGGGGGGGGGGAACTGGGAAATGCACAACAACGTGGGGATCGCTTTGGCGTTGTACTCCTTGATCGTCACTGTGGCGGGGCCCTTCGCGAGCGCTACGGCGTCGGCGCCTTGCTGCCGCTTCTGCGCTGGAAGGCCCCGCATGTCGTCAACGACGTTGGGGCCCATGGCGTAGCCGCGGTAGGTGGCGATCTTCACGATGCCGAAATCAACCCGGCCGGGGACAATAGCCATCAAAGCGTCGCGTATCACCTCAACCACGTGGCAGGAGAATGCAGCGCAGAGCGGAATTAGTGCGCATTTCTCGAGCTTCAGGCGGAGGCCTGCGCAAGACTGCATGAAGGCGAAGGCGACGGAGCACTCCCGGAGGGTGCTCAAGTGGGGGATGGCCGCGCCGACGTCGTAGGCGCAGATTCGCGCGGCGCCTAATCCTCGCAAGTCCACTGTGTGCTTCATGCGTTCGGCGAAAGGGTGGGTGCGTGGAGACGGCGCACGCGAAGCCGCTCAGAGGGCAGCCCTGGAGCGACCCCCTAACGCCCATGATGAAGGCCGTATTCACGTGGTAGATCATCTGGATGCAGGAGAGAATCCCGCTTGGCACCCCCAGTGCACGGAAGGAAACCCAGATCCAGCTGTGCTGCAGGCTGGGAAAGGCCGCCGCGATGTCCCAGAAGGCTAGGACAGGAAGACGTCGAGCACGGTGCGGGTGACCGTAGGCGCGGGCCGCGCAGTCGAGGTCAACGACGTTCTGCGTCAGCTGGCGTTGCGCGACGAAGCCACGCTGGATGGAGGAAACACCAGCAGTAGCGACGTCCCTCAACATGATGTTGAGGATGCCTGAGCAAGTCTTGTTGTCCGTGTTCTTGAGGCTCAACGGGCGGGTATCCTCTGGTTTTTTGCCTAACAGCGTTTGCTGATAGGAGCACGGTCAAAAAAGAGCATCATGACTCCTCAGGGGGGTCTGGGCGGGTGCCGGGGAGGAGAGCCGGGAATCGTTTTTCGCCAACAGTCACACACTTCGTGCTCTTCGACCTCCCAGAACTCCATTCCCGGGGCACATTCTGGAGAACCGGAGACAGAGCCGGGTTCGCTTTTTGCCAACAGTCACACACCTCGTGCTCTTCGACCTCCCAGAACTCCATTCCCGGGCCGCATTTTGGATGCCCGGAGCCAACTGTAGGCCACTTCGTGCTCTTCGACCTCCCAGAACTCCATTCCCGGGCCACATTTTGGATACCCGGAGCCACTTCGTGCTCTTCGAGTTCCCAAAACTCCACTCCCGGGCCACATTTTGAATGCCCGGAGCCAACTGTAAGCCACTTCGTGCTCTTCGAGTTCCCAGAACTCCATTCCTGGGCATGATTTTGAATGCCCGGAGCCAACTGTAGGCCACTTCGTGCTCTTCGAGTTCCCAGAATTCCATTCCTGGGCAACATTTTGAATGCTGAGGCAGGCTGATGCTGCGGCCGAGGCAGGCTGAGGCTGAGGCAGGCTGAGGCTGAGGCCGAGGCTGAAGGCAGACTGAGGCTGAGGCTGAAGCAGGCTGAGGCTGAGGCTGAGGCTGAGGCTGAGGCTGAGGCAGGCTGATGCTGAGGCAGGCTGAGGCTGAGGCTGAGGCTGATGCAGGCTGAGGCTGAGGCAGGCTGAGGCTGAGGCCGAGGCTGAAGGCAGACTGAGGCTGAGGCTGAAAGCAGGCCGAGGCTGAGGCTGAGGCAGGCTGAGGCTGAGGCAGGCTGAGGCTGAGGCAGGCTGAGGCTGAGGCTGTGACTGCGACTGCCGTTGCCGCTGCGACTGTCATCGCGAATGCGACTACGACTGCGAGAACAACAGAATTCTACGACTGGATTCTCATCTGAATCTTAAGGGGAATGCTTCCAGATATGCTCCTACACATCGCTGTTAGGTTGCTTTGCCGGGATAGTTTGTTAATCTCTGCCGCGTCGCCCGCCTGGGTGCCCTTCGGGAGGAAGATAGATTCGGACATGTTGAAAGCGAGAGGCATGGCGAAACCAGCGCACATGTGGAGCGTGACCTGCAGGAGCGTCTCGGCACCCCAATCTCTCGAGTGCTCCCAGAACGAATAGGCGATGCCGCCCGGGCCAGGACTGGAATCCGTCGTAGACTTAAGGAAAGATTTGATGAGGTTCGTGGAGGGCGGCAGCACCGTGGACCAGTCGAGCGGGGAGGCCCACTTGTCGAGAAAGGTCTCGGCGAAGCGAGCGTCCGCGGGCCGCGGCACGAAGTGCGGCGCCCAGGCCCGGGCGAGCGCCTGAGCTTGATCCTGAGGGCGGCGGGTCAATTGCTCGCCGCCGAGCGGGTTGGGCGCGACGAGTGCACCCAGTACCAGCTTCTTGGCGGAGTGCAGGTGGAGCTTGGCCTTGTTCTTGACTACGTGCGCGCGCGCCCGGAGCCGCTCCGCCACGCCGGGGCTGTTACGACCCGCGGCCTGGGCCTCGAGGCGGCCAGCCTCCGCGGAGGCCTCGGCAGCAGCGAGCTCGTCGAAAGTGCCCGCGAAGCGGTGCGGGTCGAGGAGGACGACCTTGCCGTCATTGATTGCGACGTAGTCGTAGCCCTGTGCGAAATTGGTGAGGACGGCCTTGGCGAGGTGGGGGTCGGCCTGCCAGATGGCACGAGAAAGGGGGGACATGGCGAGTTTCTTCGCGAGCGCGACGTGGGGAGTACTCTTCAAGATGAAATTGCGCACGATCCGGCCCGCTTCCTGGATGATATCCTTGTGAGTCTGCCACCTCAGGACGGTGGGCAAATCAGAAATGTTGATGTTCGTGCACATGGTGTCGTGGATCTCCTTGAAGAGGGCCTGCGCGACTTCGCGAGGAATGACTTGACGGCGAGCCGGGCGTGAAGCGCGCTGCCCAATGTGCACCGTGACAGCGGCGTGATCGCTGACCTTCATCAGCCGGAGGCGCATCGGATCATCAAGCACAGAGACCGCGAACCTGACAGAGCCGATGGCCCAGGGGGGAATGGTATTAGCGATGCGGTCAAGACGGGCATATTTACCCTTGACGTAATGCGTGGCCTCCGAGGTCTCGTAAGTGGTGCAGGCATTGAGCAAGGTAGCCCAGGTAGCGACGTGCTGCGCCGACCGATGGCGCTCGGGGGCAAGAGGTGCCCTGACGACCTGCACGCGGTCATCGGCGTCCAGGAAGTTCCAGTCGCCGAGAAACCAGACGGACTTGAGGAGGGGGTGCAACTTCGCGTCGCTGATGTCATTGAGGGCGAAGGTCTTGATGCTGGCGAGGTCGGCCTCGCTGATGTGAAAGTTGTGGACGGCGTAGGCGATCCAACTGTAGTTGGCCGCGCGGACTGCCAATCGGACAACACGTTTCTCCGCGAGCATTTCACAGTCGGGTTCGGCACCAGGGATTGTCCAGCCCTTGCGAACAAGGGCGATGATCCCTCCAGAAGAGCTCGAACCCGGGGCACCGGAGATCCACCACTCACGATCGACGTCGGGAAGAAGAGCTCGAAAAGCGTCAACCGTGCAGTGCGCCTCAGCGATGAAGACGACGGTGGTGTTTTTGAGAAGACGGCGCAAGTAGCTGATCTTGTCGGCGCGCTGGTGGGGGCCGTATGCGTAAAAGCCCTGGGCGTTCCAGAAGGCGAAGCCGACGCCATTAGCAGCGGCCTGCCCGGTCGGATCCCAAGATCTGTTACCCATCCCACACAATGTCAGCGAACCGGCCCTTCTCGTAGTCAGCGATCTTGCTGAGGATGGTGTCCTTGTCAATGCCCTTGGACTAGAACACTGACAGGCGCCATTTGTAGAGTGCGTCGCCGGGTTTGTTGCTGATAACCCGGGCGACCGGCTCGGAGTCGACGAGGAGGATGCCATCGCTCCGTGCGAGGCGGGTGTGACCTTGGAGCTGTTGGTAGCAAGTGACCGTTGCCTTGCGGAGCTGGCGTAGCAAAGCTTCGTTTCGTTCCGTCTTGGCGATCTTGTTCGGGCTGACGTAGACGTTAGCCTCACCATTGCCACTGGCGGGCCGGCAGCGGAGCTTAGTCCAATCTCCGTTCTTGCGCTGAGCGTCGAAGGTGCGGGTAGCGTTGATAGCAGCGTTGACGCCGCTGAAGCGGACCTCGAAAAGACGGCCGGCCGGAGGGCCTGAGAAGACCTCGGCGTCGCTGTCCAGGCTGGCGTCTTTGAGGAGTTCCGCGAAGCAGGCCCAGACAGCATCCTTGGAGGCAAACTCGGAGACGCGGACCTTGAGGATGGAGGGGTCGGGGAGGGCGTCATCGTCGATTGCAGCAATGTCGTCCGGTGTGGCCCACTCCTGTTTCTCCGCGACGTCCAGTCGGCGTTTGAGGTCCTCGATGTCACGTCGGAGTGCGGCACGTTCTTTGTCGGCCTTCTCCTTGTAGGTACTGAGCTGCTTGTCCAAGTCGTGTTGGCGCAGATTGAGCTCGTTGAACTGGCCCTGCATCTTCTCGTCGAACTGCTTGATGAGAAGGCCAATGCTCGTCTTCTGCGTGGCACCGAAAGTGTCGAGCGAGCTTTTGATGTTCGCTTCGGTGCGCTTCTCGAACTCGTCCATGAGTTGACGAACAAAATCTTGCGAAGCAGGAGGTCCAGGTGGGCTGACGTGCGGCTGGGCAGGAGGCTGCTGTCCGTCAGCGAGCCGACGAGGACTGCGCGATCAGGATCCAGCTCTACTTTCCTCACCCATAGCTGCAGGGAGGAGAAGAGCAGGAGGAACGCGAAGATGATGATGATGATGATGATGATGATGATGATGATGATGATGATGATGATGATGATGATGATGATGATGATGATGATGATGATGATGATGATGATGATGATGATGATGATGATGATGATGATGATGATGATGATGATGATGATGGATGATGATTGATGATGATGATGCTGATGATGATGATGCCGATGATGATGTGATGATGATGATGATGATGATGAGGATGATGATGATGATGTGATGATGATGATGATGATGATGATGATTGATGCTGTGATGATGGACTGGGGAGGGAGGAGGAGGAGGAGGAGGAGGAGGAGGAGGAGGAGGAGGAGGAGGAGGAGGAGGCAGGAGGAGCAGGATGAGGAGGAGGAGGAGGAAAAGGAGGACGAGGAGGATGGGGAGGAGGAGTACGAGGAGGATGGGGAGGAGGATGGGGAGGAGGAGGAGGAGGAGGAGGAGGAGGAGGAGAAGGAGGAGGAGGAGGACGAGGAGGAGGAGGAGAGAGATAGAGAGTCCGTAGCCATTTTGGCTCAAGCCATTCTGGCTCAAGTTGCCATCTCGTCGAGGCAGCTGGCCAGGACAGCCTTTGCCTTGTGCGTAGGTAGACATCACGGCCTCGCCCACTGTGCGCTTGCGTGAGCTCCTGTGGAAGCAAATTCGCTTCGGTCGATTCGTTATATCTGCCCACGAGTTCTAAGGATGTTGTCTTGGGCCCAAAGAAGCCGCTGTGGGCATGCAACATGTGCCACCGCTCAGCGACCCGGGCATCGGGGGTCAGGTGTGCGCGTGGTTCGGCGGCCCCTCAGTCTGCGCAGAAATCGGCCAAAGCAGCACATGAGAAGATCATTTCGTCGGGTGCCAGCGGAGGCTACGTGCCCAAGGGGAGATGGAGTTCAGGTGCACCGCCAGCGCTTGACTCTACGCTCAAGAATATTGATTCTCAGCCGTCTCGATGGGCTCGAGAAGCCCACCTCTGCCCCGTCGCCTCCGCCGCCATGGAGGTTGGAGACGGAGTCTGCCACCACGCCCAGCAGCGACCAGAATAATGCCAAGGATCGCCTGGCCTGCTGGCAGAAGGCCGCGATGGTTGCCACTCACCAAGAGGACAAGATGGTGGCTGAGGAGCAGGTTGCCAAACTCCAGGAGGTCGCCAACGATGCAAAGCCCCCCCATATCCAGCAGCACAGAATTGCGACCAGGCTGGAGCGGGCGCGAAAGAGTGCATCCTCGTTGGAGACCAAGCTTGAGACCGTCAAGCAAGAAGTTGAAGAGGCGCACAATCTACTTGAAGAACGGCTCGCCAATGCACAGCACGCGCTGGAAGAGGCGAGGAGGCAGTTCGCAGCGCTCCAGCAGGAGGCCAAAGAGAGCTTCGCCAAGTCGGTGGCGTGCGCTGACGGGCCTGTGCTCAAGATGGAGAGGCAGCAGATGGGCGCGGCCTCGGAGGAGTTCAAAGCATGGTTCCGATCTCAGACAGGCGACGAAACGGCCAGCAAGCACCTCCAGGCGCTCTTCAGTATGCTGGAGGCACAAGCGGTGGCTGCCCGCAACAGCTCTTCTCCTCCTCCTGTTCCCTCCGATGATGGAGACATGGACCTTGGCGAACATGACGAGCAGCAGCTTGAAGGCGCCACCAAGCAGGTTCGACAAGCAAGAGAGAGAGAGAGAGAGCAGCTTAGGCCGAAGGCGAAGCAGCAGCGGCAGCACGAGCAGCTCTCAAAGAAGCCAGGAATAAGTTGCAGTCACAGTTCCAGGCTGCAGCAGCCAAGCGTCAGAAGCGGAGGTAGGCACGCCTCTGAGCCTTTTTTTCAATCAACGTAGATGCGGCCTGCGAGATCGGAGTGATGGAGGATCTGGGCTATGGGCCGGTGCTCGACCGAGGTGGTGATCCACGCCGACGCTTGGGGGACGTCACGGGGTTCATGGCAGACAAGCTAGTCGATTGTGAGTGGCCTGATGTTGGTTTTCTGATCCCTGTGTCGCGACCTGAGTTGCAGTTCCGGGACGCCAGACTCGCCCCCCCAACGCGCGAGTGCGACGGTCACTTGTTCCGCGGGCCCGAGAAGTTCTTCGACCAAGGGTACTGGGACATCCTTGTCGACAGGGGCCGCACTCTTGGCTCCTGAGATAGTGGAGACCCCCCAGTGGCAGCGGCACCCACGAGACTCGGGCGTGTCTGAGCCCCTGCACCCGTGGGAAGCCCCCCGCTGGGGGGACTCGCTGGAGGAGCCTCGCAGCGCCCCGCATGATGGAGCTCAACGGCCTGTGGCTCGTGGAGGCGGCCCTGGCCTGCCTCTCGGCCAGAGTCTCGGCGGAGCCGCAGCTTGCGCGGGGCGCATGCTTTCGCACGTCCACGGCGCCTCCTCCTCCTCCTCCTCCTCCTCCTCCTCCTCCTCCTCCCCGTCCTCTCCCTACCTCCCCTCCTCACCTACCTCCTCCTCCTCCTCCTCCCTTCGCACCCTCCCCCCCCCTCTTCCCTCCCTCCTCCCCACCTCCCCTCCTCCTCCTCCTCCTCCCCCTCCTCCTCCTCCTCCTCCCCCTCCTCCTCCTCCTCCTCTTCCTCCTCCTCCTCCTCCTCCTCCTCCTCCTCCTCCTCCTCCTCCTCCTCCTCGTCCGTAGCCATTTTGGCTCATGCCTTTCCGTAGGCCCCCTGCTCCTGGACCTTGTCCCTCGGCGTACCCTGCGACCCCAGGTTCACGGGGCAACGCGGCGGGCGTGAGGGACTTGGGGGAGCGGGGCTTTTGGCTCACGGGCATGATGGCTGTACGGGAGGAGGCTCTGGAGAGCCCCACAACGCGCTCGGCTCAGCGCCGAGCTGCCCAGCGCGCCGCTGCCGCCGCGGCCGACTCCGCCATCCGTCGGTTGCAGGCGCAACTGGCCGCTGCGCTCGCGGACGCTGCTGCTTCCCGAGCGGCGTTGGAGCAGCTGGTCAGGCAGGAGGGGCAAGAGGGCGGCGAGCTGCTAGCGCGGCTCCGGCTGGTGGCGCCGGTGTTGGCCGCCGGCATCGCCCAGGAGGACCCCCCGCCTCTGGCCGTAGCGCGGCGCAACCTCGCCTCGCACGAGTTTGGCATCCCCGCCTCGGATTTCGCGGAGGCGCAGGGGGCTGTGCTGAACCGCCTTCAGCGCCAGGGACGTGGTCGCCGTCCTCGCGGTCGTCGTCCCCGTGGCTCTGGTCGCGATGGAGGTGGAGTGGAGGACGGTCTGCGCGCAGACGCTGCTTGCTTCCACCCGATCCTCGGCCTCACCGTGGATCCCGTCGGGCACAGGTGCACGTGTGGAGCAGTGGTTTTCTCCAGCTGCGCCGAGATTGTGTCAGATGTCAGGGTGTGCAGCAGCAGCAGCAGCACAGCGTGGCAGGACGTGGATATCCCAGTCGTCCCCCTCGCTGCTGGTCATGTGGATTGCCCCGACCGTGTCTCGAGCGCAGCGTGGTGGGCTGCTCGCGACCGCATTGCTCGAGTCTGGCTTCCTTCTCGCGAGTTCGCCGCTCTTGAGAAGTCTCGCGATGTCGCAGGGCCTGTTCCTGAACGCAAGGCTGTTTGGGTTCCTCGAGATCTTCCTCATGACCCAGGAGAAGGGCGACTGTTTGGCTGACGGCGTCGCCTTTCTTATTTTTCATCAAGATACTTCCTTTTGAGTCGTCCTTTTATGGAATTTCGGTTCTGGGCCCGCGGCACGGGGCGCCGTTACGACACTCATTTTTTCTCGCACGGAGCGTGGATTCCTGGTTCGACCTCTCCCGCCTCCTGTATGTGGAGCTGCTGGTATCTGTCGGGTACTGCACGGGGCTCTTCCTGGGTCGCGGCGTCATTCTATTCGAATTGCATGGGCTGCCGCTGTCCGACGAGATTTGACGGTCATTCGGTCTGCGTGTCCAAAGCTTGCATTTCATTGAAGTTCTTGTCTCCTTCGAAGTATCTTTCCTGATGGTGGGAGTTGTCGTATTCTTGGTTGGCTACTCCGTCGTCCTGTCCTGGTGTTCGGCAAGTCCCTCATCACCTTCCTCATTCACGTGGGGTCCATGGCTGTGGATGTCAAAATCCTCCTCCTCCTCCTCCTCCTCCTCCTCCTCCTCCTCCTCGCTCCCTCCTCCTCCTCCTCCTCCTTCCCCCTCCTCCTCCTCCTCCTCCTCCTCCTTAACCCCTCCTCCTCCTCCTCCTCCTCCTCCTCCTCCTCCTCCTCCTCCTCCTCCTCCTCCTCCTCCTCCTCCTCCCACTTGCTGCGGCCGGTGGCGGGCCGGCACGCGTCTCGGGCAGCGCGAGGCTGCAGGGCGGGAGGCGGGCGGCCCCGTCTGCCCTGGCGCCCTCGCCTGCGCCTGCTCCTAGGTTTTTCGTTATTTTCGGCCTCTGGGGGCCCTTCCTGGGCCTCGGGACCGTCAAAAAACGACTCAGGATGAAAAACCGGTCCCGGGGCAGGGGTCCAGACCTCTGGGGATCGACGTTGTGAAAAAATCACGACGTCGGGGGTCTGGGTTTATCCCAAGGAATAACGCATAAGGAACGATAAATAGCACAGAACGCACCAGGAACGGTAACTAACGCATGTAAAACCTAAGGAACGACCGAGCCCCTTTTGAAAAGTAAGTGTTCCTTCTTCAAGCCGCTCACTGTAGGTCAGCATCGTCGGCTGCGCCCAGGTCTCGTTCCAGGACTGCGAGGGATAAAAATATCCAGGTGTTTTTTTTCTCATGCGATGCCAACTGTTGGGGCCCCTGGGAAGCCGTCCTGGAGCGGAGGCTGGACAAGGGCCTTGATGGGCCCAAGCCCCAGTTCTTTGCGGGGCAAGAGACCAGCGTTGTTGACCCTGACGCCACTGCCAAACATGTAGGGCCT